AGCCTGTTTTCCTGCTCCATGCTGCTCACTGGCACCCAGCCTTCCTCCAAAGGTGCTACTGTGCTTTTGTCCAGGTCCTGCCAACCTCAGACTGGCTTCCCCAGGACCCTGCAGCAAATAACCAGGGGTGTCTTATACAAATGGCCAGCGCCTGGCTTCCACTGCACAATTTGCCATCCACTGTTGTGTGATTGACACCCAGACCTGCAGACTCCTCATCCCCTTGATGATTTCCCCTTGCTGGAAACCATGAGCGTACTCCTTAGCTTGTGACTAATTGTCCAAAGCCACCTGACACAGGGATAATCTATAAATGCTTCATCTATCCATGTCTGTATGGTAAGCAAGGAATAAAGCAGTTTAGAAACATCAGTCATCTAAAATCATCACGAAGGAATTGACACCCAGGTCCCTGCCCATCCTCAGCTGAGGAAATGAGGGTTCTGAGAGGTGAAAGCTTGAGCAGAGTTGTTCTGTGTCTCCATAGCTTTTTGATCCTAAGATAAATTACCCAGAGAGCACTGACTGCTCCCTGCTTCTGCTAAACAAAGATAATAGCATTTGGAGTCACCTCCATGTAATGATGCAGCCACCAAATAAATTATCTTTGCTCCCTTCCCAGCACCAGAGCAGGGAAGGTGGCTTTGGGCACCGAATGGCTGGGAAGGGAAGGGGGAGGCTGTGACTTGTACCCAGCTCTCGTGGGACTGCCTTCAAAAAAGCAAGTTCCTAAACAGCTGAAAAAACATTAAATGCTCCATATACTCTCTATAAACAAGCAGTTAGAGAAATCCAGGCTGGAAAACACTTGGTGGAATAAGGTCAAGCTTCTCATATGAATCAAATTAGTGGCCACTCAACTAGCACCACAGTACATTAGGCTGAAGGGACTGGGGAAATGCAGCTCTTTTCAAGGTTATGCTTTTGTTGCCTCTCAGAGCTGCTTGCTGCCAGGGGACCCTGGCTGCTCCGAGATACTTCAGGGGGTATTTTCTGTTCCCTTTTCATCATCTGCTCCAGGGGTGATAAAGAGAATCCCAATTTGCTCTAGGAAAAGGGAGATAGTGTTACAGGCCAGTGTCAGCTCCCTCAGGTGCCCTTACTGTTTACTGGTTTGGGAAACATCTTTGGAAATAGCAAGGAAACGGTGGGGGAGATTTAAACCCTGAAGGAAATTACACACAGGAACTGCAGGAGGAAATTACCTGGAGTAGCTCCCATTGTTCTGGGTTAACAGCATGGCATGGGAACCTGGGAAGCTCGCTCCAGGATGGTGGTAGTGGGGTCCAGGCTCACGTAGCCCAGCCCCAAGGGACTTGGCTGGGGCTTGAGAGGCACCAGGGGCTGCAAGCGAGGAGCAGCATCCGTCCTCTCACCGCGACACCCCTCAAATGTGGTTCCATGTCTTACAAACCTTCCAGCCCCCTCTAAGGAGGGGAGGCAGGGATGCGTTGAGGCATGCCCTGTGGTTGTGTCTTGGAGATGAACCAGAGCCAGGGTGCCTTCCTCCTCTGCATGGCTGCAGGCAGGAAGGGCCCGGCTCTTGCTTCCCGCAGTAAAAGTGAGATTGAGCGTTGCTCTGAATGCAGGGAGAGTTTCTCGAGACTGAAGCTTTCAATTTTACTCCACTGAGCATCCAGTATAATCCATTGAAAGGGCACTGTCCTTCAGGCCTTTCAGCTGGGCTGACAGCTGCCCACTGATTAATTGACAGGTTAAAAAGATTGATTCCACATGTCAGAGCTGTAACCCTGCCAGAACAATACGGCTGTCAATTGGGCTGTAAAACAGACGCTTACATTAACAGCCCTGACAGCAGCAGCACATGAACACATGCACCTGCCTTTATGGAGAGCCTAAACACACAGCCGGGCAAAGATTAATCATCTTGAAAGCAATGTTGTAGGATCAAATAAATGTTTCTGCAGTGGAGAAGCGGTGCGGCGCTGGCTTGGCACGGAGGCCAGCCACAGATGGTGCCCAGCGGGCAGCGAGGGGGCCACGGGGACCCCAGGGTGGGGGCTCGCTGCCTCTTCAGTGCTTGACTTATTGTCCTGGCCACGTGTCCTCCCTTTCTCAACCCACTCAAAGGCTTGCACAGACACATCACGTGCAGCATCCCTCGGCCTCCACGTGGCGTCGTGCAGGCCTGAGCCACCCCTGACCCCATCCCATGCCCACTCACTGGTGGGTTCATTTCAACACGGGTGAGCCTGTGCTGCCCAAGCAGAGGGCAGGGCTCAAGGGCTGGAGCGTGTCTCACCATCACAACAAGCATCGCCCTGCATGGGAGCTTGCTCCAGAGATTAGTGTGGGCACAAGAAAGCAAAGCACTGAAGTGAATCACTTGTTCCTTTCTCTCTTGCTTTCTTTCCTTATCAGCAAAATGTAACTCATTAATATCTATCATGCAGGGCTCTTTCCAAAGCTCCTCAGCTGGAGCACACTTCAATAACCTAAAAGACTATTTGTTTTTCTGACATCCTTTGAAGCTGGATGAATTGCAGTGTTAGAGGCATTCATGCTCGCTCCGGAGGTCCAAATGGGGCTGGGCAAAGGCTGGAGCTGGTGCCAGTTTTCCAAGCGAGGGTGAATGACCCTGGCCCAGAGCATCCCAGCATGGAGAATGCTGACACCACCGTGTGCTCCCCACCCTGTATGCTGAGGAATGAAAAAACCCCAGGCAATCTGGAGAGATAAGGAGAGGTTGAGTCACGAGTGAGCTCGGCTTTGCCAGAAGACGTTTCAAAGCTTTTATGGTGAGATTCAATACAGATATACAGAGATCAATTATCTTAAAAGCAGCAAGGAGGTTCAGCAAATATTTCCAGCTTTAAACAGGTTTATTTCCATCTGCACTTATCTGTGCTATTTAAACTCCATTGCTTGCAGTTAATCTTTTGTAATGCAGCATAAGAGGGCTTATTTACTTTCTAATGACATCAGTTGGCCATAAATATTAGACATCTAAGGTTCGCTGAAGCTATAGGGACAGTTTTCCATTCCTACTTGACATTTGACTATTTGCAGTGCTTCCTTTCTGTTTGTTCTTGTGTGACTCACTTATCGGCTGTCATAGGCCCGTGTTCGATTTATTTAAATGGAATGAATAAGTACATTAGGCAAAGCTGTCAGGAGAAGAGGGAACGGCAACTCACGGGGATGAGTGATAAGTCAACAAGCTGCAAGGGAGATTCTTAGCAGAGCTGCACAAATCAAAGTGCTAAATAGGAGGAACAAAGACAGCCCAGTGACACGATGCTGGGATGAGCAAAACGAGAGAGCGCAGGGTAAACAGGACCTCCCGACCGTAATGTGTGGGACACGGGAGGCGTTTCTCCTCCATGCTGTGTCCTCGGAGTAGGCATCGCCGTAAGGCAAAGCCTGGCAGCGTTTTAGCACTCCTCATAGTTCTAAGAGTTATTATAGGATCAAAGACTCCAGACTATTATCTGCCACTAAGGTGGGAGTTGTGCAAATACCCAGCTAGCTCTGCACTCGGGAAGATAGTTTCTCTTTTTAATATTCTTCATTGCTCAGTACTAAGCTGGGCTAATTAATTGTGGAAAGCTCATATCACGGCCCTGCTGGAACTGTTTGCATTGAATATATTAGTGATGATCTGAGGGGGGGAGAGCAACCTCGGCTTAATTCCGTCATCTGTAGATGATGGGAGCAATTTGCTTTGTGTGAGAGCGATGGAGTCTAAAGCCACCTTTCCCAGGGGAACCATTCTGCCTGCTGGGCACCAGTGCTGCAGCCTTGTTCTGAAAGGGAACTTCTATGTGCATTGTGAGCATTGCATTTGATGTGTTTCTTCCATCATCATTGGAGACCACGTCCCATTTAATCACAGCAGATTTTAAACTCCTCCGCTTCTTTCCCCAAGCTTTTCCACTGTGTTTTATACAAGTTCCAAGGATCTGGGACATCCAGGCTTGAGCTGGAGCCACCCAACTGCTCCCCCGGGAGCTGCTGACTTGCCCGTGATGGGCCTGTGCAGAGCAGCCCTGGGTAAGGGGCTGAGGCTTGTGCCAAGATCACCCAAACCCATGAGAACCCTTTCCCAGGCTGAGTCCGATTCGACACCAATGGCTTACCTCAGGGAAGAGCTTGGAGAGCCCCATTCCTATTCTTGCTCTGGTCTTCCCCCCCTCCACCAACATGCTTTTGTTTCTCACCTCCTAACCTTTGAAACCCCCCCAAAACCTTAATTGGCTGAACACAGTAAATCAGAGCTGACAGTAGTTGAATAGGAGCTGATTAAAATCATTTGTTTTCAGACGCAGCCAGCTGCAGGCTCTTGCCTGCATGACTTTTGTGGCGGTCCCTGCACTGCTCTCCCTCTTTCTTCCTGTCTTTTCAAGGGATTGCATCACATTTTTCTCATTCTTTGCAAACGAGATGCTCTCCTCACCCCTCTTCCCTTCCCCGCACACCCCCAGCCTCCCTTTCACAAGCCCAGCCTTGTTTATCTGCACAGCCACTTGTGAGATTCCCGCAGAGCCATGGAGCGCTCTCCCTTGCCAGAGCACAGGCCACATCTGGTTTGCTTTTGTTTGTGTTTGGTTTGCTTGGTTTTTCCCCCAAAGAAAAGCAGGGAGGGAGGCAAAAGCGTTTAAGCTCATAGTTCTACATAGCCTCAACGCTGCTTGCACCCCTGCTCATGAAATATGTAGAAAACAGTTTAACAATGCTGGGGAAAGAGCAGTGACCAACTGTGGGCAGAGAGGTATGGAAGAATGGAGATGCTTTACCTTCTTATGAGAGCCTGAGAGAGGGGGGCATCCTTCACTGGATGTTGTATGTCCTTGAGTCCCAGATTGACCAGGTTGGATGGGGCTTGGGGCACCCTGTTGTAGTGGAAGGTGTCTCTGCCGATGGCAGGGGGTTGTAACTGGATGAGCTTTAAGGTCTCTTCCAACCCAAACCATTCCATGGGTCTATGGGAAGCATTCTGATGCCAGGAGCTGGCCCAGAGGAGGACGAGCTCAGCCCAGTGGTTGCAATGTGCTCTCCTCTTGCATTAGGCCACAAGCCATCCCCTGAAAAATGCGTCCTGGCTGAGAGTGCCATTCCCCAATCTCAGGCATCTCGAGCCATATGCATCGAATTAAAACCAAATGCACAACATAAATCTCCCTGCCATTCCTCGGAAAGGTTTCACATGACAAGCACATTCCTGTGACACTTTCCATCTTCTGTTTTACCGCACAGGCTAACAGCTGTTTCCAAAACAAACCCGGAGTGAGGAACACACAAAATCCTCACTCTTTGGACAAACTTGCTGTTATTGCACCGGGGTGGTGCGTGTGAGTGGATGCTCTGTGTCTGTTGGGCTTCCACTGCGACTGGCTCTGCACCGCTCACGTGCAGGCCTGGGGCCTCGGTGGGGCTGTGCCATCATTCTTTGGGGTTTTTCCCCCACAGAAGCATGTTGGGAAGCCAAGCAGAATATGGTTTTAGAGAGGTGACTTGTTTTGCACAGTAAGCCTTATCCTACCTTAAACGTTTCCAGGCTGAGAGGGAAATTAATGAAGACTCTCACTAATGCAGACTCCTTCTCGCTGTTGTCATCTTTGGTGTACTTGGAGTTGGCAGGCCCTTGGCAGCAGGTAGATCGGCTGAGAAAGTTGGGACTGTTCAGCCTGGAGAAGAGAAGCTGCGTGGAGACCTCAGAGCAGCTTCCAGTATCTGAAGGGGGCCTATAGGGATGCTGGGGATGGACTCTTCATTAGGGATTGTAGTGACAGGACAAGAGGTAATGGGTTTAAACTTAAACAGGGGAAGTTTAGATTGGATATAAGGAGGAAATTCTTTCCTGTTAGGGTGGTGAGGCACTGGAATGGGTTGCCCAGGGAGGTTGTGAATGCTCCATCCCTGGCAGTGTTCAAGGCCAGGTTGGACGAGACCTTGGGTGATATGGTTTAGAGCGAGGTGTCCCTGCCCATGGCAGGGGGGTTGGAACTTGATGATCTTAAGGTTCCTTCCAACCTTAACTATTCTATGATTGTACAAGCACGTATCAAAGTGGCCCAGCCCTTGATGAGTGTACAATCAGTTATCTGAAAGGAGTTTATAGTGATGAGTCCACTCTCAGCTTGCACACCTTGGAGCAGTGATGCACACACCCTTCCATGGGCATCATTGCTCTTTGTGCCCATCTCTCTAGGAACTGCCAACCACCACTCCTTGTGTGTCTCCCACCCACTCTGCAGCCTGCCCCAAGGAGGGTTTGCTCACCAGCTCGCCGTGGTACCAGCTCTCAAACTCCCACATCCACCTTTCCCAGTGCACAGGGCAAGTTCCGACAGCGATTCCCTCTCTGGGAGGATGTTTACCTTCCACAGCCGCCTTTCCCTTACAGTTAAACAGGAATGTTTCCTTTTCTAAACAGTTTACATTTCTGATTCCAGAGGTATCCAGCTTGCCAAAGCCACCAGTATTTGTCTCACTTTAAATACATTTATATGCTAATGCAGGCGGCCTCTCCTGCTTGCACCCGCACCACACACAGCTGTATGGGAATATCTCTTTTCTTGCTACAAAATGGGACCATCAAACATCCTTTGGATTCATCTCCATTAATCAAGATCTGTGCATGTGCTCGTGCAATACAGACATTCCTGTGATAAACCAGATGCGCACACCTCTGCATCGGCTGTCCAGACTTGACAGATCGGTGCCACGTTTGGAGGAGGAGGAGGAGGAGAGGGGAGGAAGGAAATGTAATTTCGAGGATACAGTTCTGTGTATGCCTGGGCAGCATTTCTCCCCTTTTTTTTATTGCCTTTGGGATCATCTTACAACATTCTCTGTCCAAAGACTTGGGAGCACTTCACAGATATTACCTGATTACAATCTGCAGAGGTATGAAGTGCTTTTCCCAAGGTCAATCAGCCACTCATGGCAGAGTTTGTATAATCAGCCTGCGGAGCCATCAGTGTAGAAAAGACTCATCTCCTTTTCCTGGGGGAAGCGAGGGGATGCTCTCATCACATCCAGACCTTTTCTGCAGAGGGGAAGGGAAGCAGCAGCTGCTTCTCCTGCAGATGCTGGGGAGCTCAGGGGCTCTCTGAGAACCCCTCAAGGGCCAAGGTACCACTGATGAGCATCAGTGAGCATCCTGGTGAGGATGGCACCGGTGAGAGCAGGTTTGCTGTTGGTCCAGGATTTTTCTCTCACTTCTCTATTGCCCGTTGTGCCCTGTCTGTTCTCTGCTGCCCCTTTTTGTGTTCCACACGACTCCCATTTCCTCACTCCTGTCAAGAGAACTGGAAAACACCAACAGCCCTGTGCTTTGTTAGACAGTGCTTGAGAACAGTGATGAAACCTGCTTAGATGGATGTACCTGAAATGCTTTTCCATTGAAAACTGATGATTCAGTGACATAAAATGTTCTGTGCTAACACATGGGCTTTGTTTAACGTGTTCTGGAGAACTGTGAAAACATTTTGCTTCTAAAATCCCCAAATCTTTCATTTTGACTTTACCATTCTGTATGAAGGTCATATTGTAATTGAGACACAAGGAAAGGATGAATTGTTTTGGTTATGATATAGTAACAGACCCTGGCTTTCTGTCTACATTTGGGACAATTACTCCTCTTTGAAACCTCAGAACTTCTCATCCCATGGAAACTTCAGTTTTCAGCCAGCTACAATAGTAACACCGATATTAATCTTGAAAGGAGGCTAGAAAAAAATCACATTGAAGATTTAAAGAACAGTGTCATCCCTAAACCACCTTCCTTCCTTTTAAGTGTTCAGGACTGAAAGCTGATACTGGAAGGGAGAGAATGTAGACTCATAGCAGACAGGTTGGACAACTTGCCAAATCATCCAGGCCCAGTAAAGCTCAGCCTTTATCCTTGTGGAAAATAATGATGGAAAATTCATTTCAGTATCATGTACGGCTTTGCTGGGGTGGAGGAGGGAAGGGGCAAACTTAATTCAGACCCAAAACTCCCCTCACACGGATGCTGAATGTAAACTGTAGCTGCATTTCTGTCAGACTTAATGGATTTCACTTATGGGAACTATAATAAACAGCTCATTATGGAGTCAGCTGCGGGAGCATTTTGAGCCCAATAGGGTCATTTGTTTTCCAAGGCAGATTTAGTCTAAAGGGGTGGACAGAATAAGGCAGTGTTTGAAGTGTCTATATCAATACCTGAGGAACGGTGACAAAGTGTGATTTGGCTCTCCAGCAAAGGCCCCTGTTGGGCTAGGGCACAGCACAGTGCTCTAGTGAGGTGGTGGGATGCTGCTGGTGGTGGGTGCTGCTGGACACACAGAGAACAGTTCCCACAAACCAGATTTCAAGCAAATTGTCATCATTAAAAATCTCAGCTCCCGGAGTCCTGCTGTTGCCTAAAAACCTGACCTCTTTTCTCTGCGTGTGAGGAAGTTTCCATCCTTCACACTTGAAGGGAAGTTACGAGTCCCAAAAGCCAAAGAAAGCAGCAGCAGAAAGGCTCTTCTTGTTTCGCATGGTTTTAAGGCACTGCCCAGTTGCGGGGACAAGGGATGATGCAGTGGGCAAAGGGAGCTGATGCCCCTCAGCTCCCCTCTGCTGTGCTGCTGCTGGGACTCACAGGGAGGCAAGGCTTATCCTTACAGTAGATCAGGGCTGGAAAAGCAAGTGAGCAATGCTGATACCTTCTTCTTTGTTCATGGTTAAGCCGTGAGAGCCCATATGTCCTTTTGACCATCACAGGGCAAAAGCTGTTTTCCCCATGCTGGGGAGCGTGGCCAGCTATGCTGGGGAGGGAAGAGCAACCTCCATGGGTCTGCTTCCTAATGAACTTCTTGAAAGACTGGATGTATAAGTCAATAAACATCTGTGGATAGAGGGCTTGGGATCCAAGTGCACCCTCTGGAGCAGATCCTCCCCTCTCCACATCTGGCAGGGGGTGGGAGGGGACCAGGCATTCCCATCGCCATCCATCTCCTCCTCCCCCAGCATCAATCTGAGCCCTCCCCTCATCGGGATGAAGCCAGAGGACAGCGGTTTCAAACAGAACGACTGTCAGATTGCTCAGCACGCAATAAATCACACACAGCATCTTCCCTTTCATGTCTGCTCCGGCTGGGGGATTCGCAGACACTTCTTAAACACTTCCATACCCATGGAGATGCTTCTCTGCTTGCCTGGGCCCTGCGTGGGGAAACTTTCTGCCTCTACAGAGCAGAAGGTAAATCACTCAGGGAGGGAGCAAGGGCCCGTTGGCTTGTGAGCATGAAAGGGGCCTGGAGAGGCATTTGCAAGTGCTCAGTTTCGCTTGTCAGTGGGTGATTTGTGTCTTTGTACGTGCATACATGAAGCCTCTTTGCTTTCTCGTGCAGGCATGGAGTAAACTCCCGTGTTGCTGTCTCATGGTAGCACACACGAACACAGGCGTGTACACTCACACGTACATGCATGCGCATATCTGCAGCTACTCTTGAAAGCAAAAAGGCTTCTTTTGTCCCCTCGGGTAGGCAAAAATGCAGTGCTGTGAGGAGCAGAGACGTGGGTTATAGAGGATACCGAGGCCAGAGAGTGCGGTTGCTGGGCCAACACACGAAATACACGTTTCTTTTCATCCTTGTTGATGTGTTGGATTGGGAGAGATGGAGGGAAAACCCTTTTGTCCATTTCAGAGAAAGGAGAATGATTCTTGTGATGCCTCTGTGAGGTTTCACCCAGCAGCTTCATCTTGCTGATGACCTCTGCTGCATCTAGAGCTGGTAAAGGACATGTGGGTAGAGGTACAGAGGATTGTTTCTTCCATGTTTTCCTGTTAATAGTGCTAAGAGAGATAAAAACCCCTTTAAATCCAGTGTAGAAACCACACCGGTAATAACCCAGTGATAAACCCCAAGACTGCAACGTGTAAATGCCATTGGAGTTGTTATGGTGAACACTTTGAAAGCTGCTGTTTTCCTTGCTGGAAAAAGGATCTCCACAATGTGAACTTCCCAATTCTAGGAGATGACAGAAGAATCGAGTGCTTAGGGAAAAATAATAAGCTGCAATGAGGAGCCAGTCTTCATTATAGATTAGTTTCTTTTTGAGTTTTATTCCTGAGGATGCTATCGATGTCTGACCAGTTCCTAATTCCTCATCCCTTAATTATGATGCCATTTGTTAGATCAATGAGTGTTATTAATCAAAACTAACTAGGGAATGGAAGAGGTGCAGGCCACAGTATTGTTACAGCCTTTCTGCAGGTGTTTCCATGGCTGACCCATGGGCATGTCTCGAAGAAGAAAGTCAAACTCAGCAGAGCAACTTCCACTCATCTGGTGGGAGCAAACTCCCTGGAATGCACATGGGATGCTGCTGGGGGTGGTGGGATGCAGTGCTGTGCCACGAGAAGGGGTAGACACTGTCTTGGAAGGGGTGGACACTGTCTTGGAAGGGATAGACACTGTCTTGGAAGGGGTGGACACTGTCTTGGAAGGGGTAGACACTGTCTTCTCTGCCTCCTGCCCAGCTGCTTGCACCGATCTGTCTCAGCTCTAGATCTGTGCCTGATTCCACCTCAGCTTTACAGCATTCACTCCTCTTGAGGAATACTTTAAGTAACGATGCTTTGCTCTGCTGTGAGGCTCAAAGCAATTTGAAATATTAATTAAGTCTCCCAGCTCTGCTCTACACCGGCTGGGTACTGTTGGTGTTAAACAGATAAAGATGAAGCAGTGTTGACACGAGCTGTGTGGTGAATTGGTGCTGGAGGCAGGAACAGAGCTCCTAGGCGGGTAGTGTTGACCATGGGATGTCCTGCTTGGGACCATGCTGGGCTCTTTAACAGAGCAGCTCCCTTCCCCTGGTTTCCAGCTCGATGATGTAGAAGCAGGGACTTTCCTCAGATGAGATTTCTAAGCTCCTGCTTGTGTTCCTGAAGAGGTAAATGTCCATGTCCCTACCCGAGCCACAGCAGGACCGCATCCAGGAGACCTCATCCAGCCAGCAGCAGGACCGCATCCCGGGGACCTCATCCAGCCAGCAGCAGGGCCTGGCTTGCAGAGGCTGCATCCTCAGGGCTGGACACCTCTGGAAAACCAGCTTTTACCTGAGCGCTGCCTCAGGAAGAGCCTGAGCCCGCTTGTGGCAGACAAAGGAGGGAGCTGGGAGCAGAATGAAGCATTGAGCTCTGCTTGTCCTCGGGAAGCGCCCATGTGGCTGTGATGAGAGCTCCAGAGCCTGATGTTCCAGGGCTCTCTTGGGTAGAATATATTTACCTTCTTTGTAGCTGGCTGTAACTCACAGCCCTGCAAAGCACTCTGCCAATACAGCAGTTGCTGATGTATAGCTACAGCCATTCTCGCTGTTTCCCTTACTCTGTCTCCGTATAGAATAATATGCGATTAATTGATTTTCTGTCGCTCTTTTAGTACGGAAAATTAATTTTGGAGCAACCTTGTTTTCTCAGGGTATGAATTCTCTACATGCAGAGTAATTCCACTCCTACATTATTCATGAGAGAAAATAGTGATGGAGTGTGTAACTGAGGCAGCCCCAAGGCCACAAACTGATAGTCTGCGTTACTGATACAACAATATTCCACTGATGCTTCTAAATAATTCACGGCTACAACTCAATTTGGCACCAGGCACGGGGCTCGGGGTGTGACTGGTGCAGAAGGGAGCAGGATGGGGCCACCAGGCAGCAGGAGCATCATCCTTAAGGACGTGGGCTCCAGCTTCTCCTGCCTAGGACCCCCAGGTCACAGTATGGGGCAAGGTGCTGCTCCAGGGAGCTGTGGCAGCCTTGCTGTGTGCCATGAAGGTGGCCTTTCCATGTGGATTAAAGGGTTAACAAGGCTGGGGGGGACAGGCTGAGCAGTGGCCGCCTCTCTGGAGGTGATGCTCAAGCATCCTCTCAGATGGAATAGCCCCATGTGAGCTGGCCAGGGCTGCAGAGGGGGTTAATGGCTTGGAGAGCACTTCTCATGTGAGTGGAAAATGGCAGGGGCCTTCCCTTCCCTCCTTCCCTGCCTCTGGCAGCCGCTGTGCCGAGCAGGTCCAGATGACGATGGAGTGAGTGAGAGCCTTGTCCTGGCACCGGCCTCCTTTTAGATTAATGACTTGCAATGAGATGCCTAAGTCACATATTGGGATTTTTCAACATTGAACTGTACCTGGCACCCTGCAGCCATTTATCACTGGGCTGCAGATGGAAGGCAGCAGCAGCAGGACTTGTGGAAGGCCAAGAAACACAGCGCCCCAGCCAGCCTGCTGTGGGCTTGGGAGGGGGGGGTACTTCTGGTCCATGTGCTTGTGTGGGGCTTTTTTTTAATCTAAAATGATAAATCTGATTTCTTCAGGATATTGGAACAGCTGCAGCTGACCTGGCTATTTATCTGCGAGATCTTCAGGGTGTACGATAACAGCTCTTAGAGGATGGATGTGGTGTTATAAACTG